TACTATAGTAGTGTCGTGTGTACGTCGTACGTTAGTTATATATATATATATATATATATATATATATATATATATATAGCTTGGCTTGCTTAATAGGCTCGGCTTGGCTTGGCTTCTTCAGCATTCAAACAAAATAAATCAAATGGTCATCTATCAAAGTTGAAAGTGAAATTAAATTATATGAAATGGTAAGATAGCATAGACATATGGCCCATAAAGTTAAGAAGGAAACTTTATTACGTGTCGACCTTTCGAGTGGTAGTAGCGATCAAGTTGGGCCTACCACTGACCTGGTGTGTTGAGCCAAACTGGGTTCATGTGTAGAGATCCAGGCATTGGAGCAGGTCGGGTTTGGCCTAATAGTCTAGACCCTAGAAGCAGCCACATCATTCCGAGTACAATCAGACCTGACCTGGACTAGACCCATATAATTGGGTTGTGTTTTTCTTAAGAAAATTAAGTGGGGATGACAAGCCCCTACCCGTTTTTTTAAACCGTTAGTGGTTTTTTAATACGTGAAGTGAGAATAGAAGTTGTGACTATAGATGGGTCACAGGTGGTGCTACCACCACAACCCCAACCCTTTTCTCCATAATTGGGTTGTGTGTGTATAGAAAAGTACTATAAGGATTGTATACTATAGACAAGTAGTTCAAAAAATGGCGAGTCGACCCGAAATCACCTGGGTCTACACGGGAATCGCTCAAGACGTACTGTTGTGGCGAAAAAGATGGAATCGCCCGGTTTGCAACAATGAATCGGTCGGTTTGCAATAGTGACTCGTCTGAAGCGGCGGAAAAAACACGATGAACAGTAAATGCCAAATTTTTGTCACGATATTGCCACGATTGTTGTAGATTGTCACGAGATTGTCACGAAATTGCTGTAAATGAACAGTGAATGTCAAATTTTTGTCACGATGAACAGTGAATGCCCAATTTTTGTCACGAGATTCCTTAATTATTGATCAAATTTGGCTTTTACATTGCATTATTGTGAGAAATTACTCATTTTTTCATTATAAAACAATGAATTGAGATGATTGAATTACAAAATTTGTTGTGTTTTTAACAAAAAACCCTAAATACACCATTCTTTCATTTCCGTCACAAATATTCACTGTTTTTTGTTCGAATCAGAGGGGTTTTGAAGGAAATTGATTTCTACATATGATTGTAGTAATTGTTTTTGTGATTTAGCAAATATTGGAGATCAATATGAGCCAAAAAATTTCTTGAAAACGTAGGGTTTTGTTGAAAATCTTGATTTTCATATGCTATTGTAGCCTTTTTGCTTGATTTGGTCAATTTTAAAATAAATCAGAGGGATTTTGTGTAGAACAGTTGACGGAAAAAGAAAATCCACCAATCTTCAGATCTAAATCGATATGGGCCGAATTTTTTGTTGAAAACAGAGGATTTTTTGCTCGTAATCCTGATCTTCATAAGCTATTGCAGGATTTTTGTGAGATTAAGCAACATTAGTTGCTCGAATTTGCAAGAAATAGAAGGTTTCTCGAATTTTTAGGCATGCATATGTATTTTTTAATTTTATTGTCAATTTTATTAATGCACTAAAATCATTTTGATTGGTACATAATTAAGTATGTCATGAATGTATAATTATCATGCATTTTGAATGAGGCGAAAATTAAAAACTTGTATTTTTAAAATTTTTATTGATACAAAATTAAAAACTTGTATTTTTTAATTTTATCATCAAGATGTAGTGGCATTTGAATGACTATATCATTGTAAATAATTTTTTTATTGATACTATATCATTGTAATTTATTTATTTTCTTGATTCTAGGTTTGGCTGATACATACTATTTTTATGTTGCATAAATCAAATAGCTTCAAATTTTTAGGTATGCATATATATTTTTTACTTTTATTGTCAAATTTATTAATGCACGAAAATATATGTTCTTGAATCTAGATATATAATTTAATTTTCATTGATACATAATTAAGTATGTCATGAATGTATAATTATCATGCAATCAAAACTTGTATTTTTAATTTTATTGTCAACAATAAGATATGTGGCGAGTCTACTTATAGGTGAGCATGAAGGATGGACAAGCTTCTGATATTTTGAATTAAAAGCGCTACAAAACACTAACACTCAGGAATTTGGGTATAGTCAAATGTCCATTAATTTGGATGATTCGTTTCTAGATCGAGTCAATGAATTGTCATGTGTCAATCAATGCAACCAGCGTGACCAAGAAGAAGAACGACATTGTCTTTCATTTTATTATTAGGTCGTATTTTATGAAGTGTATACTTTATTGTAGTCTATGTATGATGATATACTTCATCCATGATAATTCTATACTTCTCATTTTGTGTGATGTAAATTTAATGGTTAACAGTAGTTCATACAGGGAAAGAACATCTCAATATTCGCATATTGATGCAAAAAAAAAGAATTTCTCGATGAAGTATCCCCATTTCTTATTGGATTTTTAAAAAATAATACTTATAATGAATTTTAACAATTTTTTTAGATTTTTTTAAAGCTAAATCCGACCTATTCGGCCGATTCCCGATCCGATTCATCGATTCACCGATCTGAGTAGGTTTTGAAGGTACCCGATCCATTGCACCTATCCGTTTTTTAACTACTACTATACCATTTATGAAATTTTTTAAAAAAAAAAAATTCGAATTTTGAACGAGTTACACTTATGACCACCCAATTTAAAACGTTAAAGACAAGGGAGATTGTGACCTTGTGCTAAAAACAAATACTCTTTATATATTTTTCTTGTACTATAAAGAGCTCATGGTTGAAACGCTTTTGCTTCAAATAAAGTACTACGAAAGCCTACAAAGCCGGCTGTGGTCAAACATATGGGGCAGCCAACGTTCCTATCAAAAAGCGCCCTCGTCAACGGTGGAACAAAGGATCCACCTTCAACTATCAACATACGCATCTACGCATGTTATTGCTCTCGGTTGGATGGGTTCCGGAACTACCCGGATCCAGATTCAAATTTGAAAAGCATATATAAGATCCAGATTTAAAAGACCTAATTAATATTTATAAAATAATATATTACAAAAAAAATTATATAACATATGTGTATCTTTATAAAATAATATATACAATTTGGGTCAGATCTGGATCAGATCCACTTGTATCTAGATCCAATCGAAATTACTATTTAAATCCAAATTTTAAATCTAGATCCGACCCCTCTAATCCAAACCTTAGATCCGTACCCGGGTGTGAATGGGACTCAAACTTTAGATTCCGAATCCAAACCGAGTAAATTCTCGGCACTCATACAAGTTAAAATCAAAACAAGGAGAGAACGTGCCAGAGTTGTACCCAACCATGAGTTGGGTGAAGACGATTGGGACCCAACGACAGTGATGGGGAAGACAGCCAAAACATGACGCTCTCAGTTTCAGGTAATTCTCAGATGAATATCTTACCATTCTTTTTTCAATGCATCACTCCCATGGTTTTGTGATTCACCCCAATGCAGATGGGTGCTTTGACACAAAAAAAGAAACAAATAAAATATAGGAATTCTTGGTGATAAACACAGCTCTTCATTTTAAGTATTACTCATTGTTTAATACACCACAGTACTAAAAACTTTCCTATTACCTAAAAATAGAGAGAGAGAGAGAGAGAGAGAGGCAGAGATCAAAACATCGAGAGAGAGATTATCCCAGTAAGAAGAGGGACAGTAATCATTTGCTTTTTTGCTTCCACACCAGCATGACAGTAAAAATTTTACTAGTGAACATTCAATGTAATTTATGATACCGAAACCGTGCCCTCCCACCATCAGCAAATGTAATACAATTTCCGCCTCTACCATTCCTGCAGTGTGGGCCCCCCACCCCCCATTGAATCGGAGCCCGCTTCTGCCGCAAGATCCCCCTCGATTTAATAGGAGCTTCCAGGACGAGCAGAGCACCCAATCTCACCACCATTACTGCAAAGATGGGTTATAGCGGATGGTATGGTACATAACCTAACGCGCACTTAACATCACTCACTATATCACTACATCTCATGAGCAAATTCAGCATCTGCCTAGATATATCCACTCCTCCCCTGCTCTCTCTCTCCTCTCCCTCCGATCCCATTTTTGCATCTCTCCCCTCGTTATATCGAAACCCCGCATGTTGCTGTTGTGGATATTGCGCATAACCTTTGCCAACATAACTCATTCCAACACTCTCATCAAACGATGAAACATTAACAGGAAGAGGAAGAAGACCAGAACCCACAGAACTAGAACCAGAACCAGAACCAGAACTAGATGCAATTGGACTGGAACTAGAAGAACCAAAACCAGGTTTAAAGTTGTTATTAACATCCGCATCACTAATTGCACCAGCACTGCTAGAGTGTTTACCCCTACTCTCTTCAGCAGCTAATAGGAACTTTACACGTGGGCCCTCTCTCGGGGTGCCACCTGGTGCCTCCTCAGCCGCTGGCTTTTTTAAGATTGACTTCAGCTTCACAGCCTGCCTTTCACTGGAAAAACCAGGCTTGCCAGAGTCAGCCAAGTTCTCCTGTGGTTCGGTTGCCTGTTGGGGCTTGTTCTGAACCTCTTTGAGCATATAATTAACACCTGGTCCAAAAAACGAGCTCCTCATAGCCGAGTTGTAAGCCGCTTGAGCACTCTTCTTGTATCGAAAAACCACTCGACAAATCCCCGACCGCCGAAAAAACCTCGTCCCCGAAAGATCAAGAGGCCCAAATCGAGCAAGGGTTGCCCTTAATTGAGGCTCTGAGGGCAGCCCCCGACCTTCCGGAAACTTCATGCTCAGCACCGTGGGCTCCACCAGGATTGCAGGAGCCTTCCCAGACTCCAATTTTCGGTCGCTGGAATCTGGCATCTTCTGGCTGGATTCCGCTGCCTTCTGGGTGGAGTCCGGCAACTTTTGACCAGACTGCTTTGCCTGAACTATCGACTTCAACTCCTTTAGTTTCTTCATTCTCCTTGCTGCATCACTGTTGGCATTCTGACCTTGGTCAGAAATACTTCGTTTTCGACTAGGTTTGGCTAAATCATTGCCAGATTTATCAACGGTTTTCAACGCTTTCGCCCGTTTTAGGGTTTCAGGCTCACTGGATTCCGGAAAAGATGCCCTATTTCCAGCAAGTTTAGGAGGATGAGGGTCAGGCAATTCTGGTTCGGTTCCAACTGGATTTAGGCTCTTTTGATAAACAAGTGAACGGAATTTCAAGAAGACTTTCCGGACATTGGTTGCACAGTTCCTCTCTCTGCCATGAAAAGGGTCTAGGGTAAGGCACATGAGGTCCTCCAACAGCTGAGACAGCATTAGCTCGATGGCAGGCCCACCATCAGATGGGGTTGAACTCAGGGCCACACCTTGTATCACTGGTTTTTTCAACACCGCCTCCCCTTCTTTGCGTACTCTTGGAACTTCATGTGAAGCTTTCGCATCTGAATCCTTCACCTTCTTTTTCTTCTTCTTCATTTCACCACCCTCCATATCAGAAGCCACCCTTTTAAGGCCTTTCACTTTCTTAACAGCTAGAGAGACATCCGATTGTCCTGATATTTTCTTGTATAGCTTTGAAGGGCCCTTGGACTGGGCCCCACTGGTTGATATTTGAGAAGTTTTAGGACCCACTGCCTCTGCTTTCTTATCTTCCAGCCTGAAAATTTCAGCCACTGAGTTGCCGGAAAAATTCCCAGCTCTGCTGGAATCTGAACTTTCAGACACTTCTGATCTCAAAGAAAGAGTAGGTTCAGCGAATGATACCCTTGAGCTAGTCCCATTGAGCTTGTTCATCTCTGGAAAGACACTTTTTTCTGTCATGTTATTTACAGGAACAGACGAATGATTCTCAGGCAAGCGAGCAATGCTTTCCATGGCCGTAAGAGGGCCATCCTGACTGTGAGGTGCTTGATCGGCTTCGCCAATAGAATCAGAATGGGCAACGCCTTTCCCCTTGTCTGAAACAGACTGCACCTTCCCTGTTTCTTTGGCAATTGACATAGTTTTGGGCTCAGGTGTTACTTCTCGGCTCGATGGTCTAGCATCTTGATCACGAGGCTCTTTGTATTCAGCTTTTGTATCATTAGGTGGATTTCGTTTTTGGAAGATGTAATTACTGGCTGCAGGGGCATAGCTCTCATCCTCTTCAAAGTCAAATGCATGCTCCAGCTTGGCCTGGCGTGCTTGGGACTCCTTGCTTGTAATGGATGGGTGCTCATTGGGCTCATCCCTTCTCTTGAAGAGGTATTTGTCTTTCTTTAACAAGTCCTTTGATTTTGCCAACTTCGAGGAACTCTTTTTCTCGCCTAAGGCTTCTGCAATCACCAGAGGCCCACTGAGGGGGGCTGACGAAAACGGAAAAAAACCATGAGTTTCTTCTCATTTGTGGGAATAAATATAATTGAACGTAATTGCTCTTCTTCATACAAAGATAGTCACTGGTTATATCAATGCCAAGGGAAATATGGATTATGTACCATAAGAGGATTAATACAAATTTCTTTTTGCTGGAGAGGGCAATATGGAAAGGATGTGACACAAATTAAATTCTATATCAAAAGAAATTACATGATGGGTTTGCTAATAGATAGCTAATCAGATGACAGATGACACAGCCTGCTAATTAATTTTAAATCCAAAAAATGAAACCCAACAAGGCAAAAAAAAAATCTCAAAAAAAGAATAATTAAGAGTTTACTTGATAATATCAATCTCAATGTCAAGTACCTCAGTGCAGAATATTCAAACATGTACTGAAGCATAAACAAGTTACTCGACAGCATGCACATAAGAAAAATGATAACGAGTTAACTATGCTTCTTTCTGGATTTATATAACTAGGGCCTTTAAAATTTATTAAAATAGAGAAATTAAAGGAAGAAAAGGGCATAAGTTTCCTACGAATCCTTGGGAGTCATATTAGAAAGGAAACAGAAGCAATCTGTGCACGTGTGTATGTGTTTGAGAGAGAGAGAGAGAAGAATCATGAACATAATTTTCCAAAACAAACTGTCCTACCCTCAAGGAGTTCTGATAAAAGAACAAAACATCAAGATCAATGACCAGAAAAGGATTCACCAGGAGTTTCAACCTCTGAAAGGATTAGTGGACGAATCTTTAGGAGACATATTAGAAGGGAAACAGAAGAGATCTGTGCGCGTGTGTGTTTGAGAGAGAGAGAGAATAACAATGAACATAATTTTCCAAAGCAAACTGTCCTAGCCTCAAGGAGTTCTGATAAAAGAACAAAACATCAAGATCATTGACCAGAAAAGGATTCACCAGGAGTTTCAACCTCTGAAAGGATTCATGGGGAGGAAAAGATATGTACCATAAACAACACCATAAGAGCATGCTTTATCTATTTATCTACTGTTGTTCATTCAGTTAGCTAAAAATGTCTATTAAACAAATTTTCATGTAAGAATCTTGCAGTTCCAGAGAAACAACGCAAGCTGCATTATTGTGCAAAACATTGTAAATGCAAAGAGTTTCTAGAGCCAAACCACTTTTTCTTTTCTTCACTCAGATCATTCTAATTCCGATAAACTCCCCAAGCACCCTCCCTATTTTCCTTTCCATGTTTAAAGGAAAGGCAATTCAAGATAAAGGCCCTATGTCTTGAAACATTTATCCAAAACAAAAACCCACAGTAGACTCAGAATATTCAAACTTGACATTTTCTCTACGTCAAGAACCAATGCAGTAAAGTCTACATCCAGCATCCAGACCAATGTTTTCAAAACAAGATTGCTCTCAAACAGTGGAGGTGGCGGTTTGATTCAATCTGGTCCAGCTAAACTGGACTAAACCTGTTTCATGAAGGAAATCATCTAAAAACATACTAAAAATCCATCCTATGTGAAGAAATAGGGCAAAATTGTTGTATTTTGAAGGATGAAAAACCAAAACAAACTCATTTCCAAGAGAAAAGACTATATTTCCATAAAGTATTAAGCCATGAAGGTTAAATCTCTAGTGTTTTTTTTTAAAAAAAAATTCTATGGTTAGCATTTGAAGCAAGTATATGGCCACTTCCTACTTATGGTTATAACATTCACAAGGCCTACGGGCCGAATGACACTTCGTTTTTTTTTAAGGAGGCTTTTTACAGCATGGAGTATCTAAAGCAGGGATTACTTTTATGTAAATAATATTTAAAGCCTTGCATTTTTTTAATTTTCGGCTTTTTAATAACCCGAACAGCAAACTATCTGCTTTTCGGTTTAACTGTTGAACCGATGGTCAGATCCGGTTTTCAAAACACCGATCCAGACCACCTCCAGCCAGCAGTGTGTTGCATATCTCTTCCCAGATTTAGAAGTAGTAAAATTCCGCAACCCTGAGGCAGGAGCTCAGTATAGAAACAGTTGAACATGATCTTTGTAATTATGACTAAAGACATTCTAATCTTTTCATTTTTCTCTCGATCCAGACCACCTCCAGCCAGTACTGTGTTGCGTAACTCTTCCCAGATTTAGAAGTACTAACTGTAACCGTAAGGCATAAGCCCAGTATAGAAAAAGTTTAACATAATGCTTTGTAATTATGACTAAATACATTCTAATCTTTTCATTTTTCTCTTATAATAAGCATAGTAATGTAGAATGAAACTGCCTGAACCACTGACCAGCAACCAGGGGCAAGACTCAAGCTTATGACCTCCATGCCAGAAGCACAACACCAAAGAATAATCTACTCCGACAAACCCACAGTGTTGTGCAGTTTCATATACAAGTAAATGAATTGTCAAGCACCAACATACACCAATTCTATTCATTTTACATCAGGTACAGTGCAATAAGCTCAATATTTTGCAAATTCGAAGTTTGGCCATGGTCCCCATAAGGTAAATATGACAGTTACTGGAAACTCCCCAAGTATATTACAACATGCTGCTTTAGGTTACAAATTAGTCATATTCTCGAAGTGTAAATGTTAAGCGTCAGAGAGTATGCTAGAATGAGTAAACTCCTGGCGGTGGATGCAGTTGGAGAAAAAAGCCATTGAATAATTTAATCAAGATTTAAGGACCATCCATGTCCAGACTCCTGTTGAAAAAGATTGGATTAACTCATGCTGGAATAGAAAGAATTCCAGCACCTACAAGTAATGCTACTTGCAAACTAGTCTTTTGAGCTAAAATGAGAGCTTTTATGTTCTTATTTTACTATATGTCATTTTCTATAATAGTGGTGGATCATTTTTTGGGCTGCAAACTGTAGAAATGAAGGACGTCAAGTGTGAATCCATAAAGAATGCATGCATGAGGTGAAGTCACATTGTAGACAATCATATTACAAGAACCAAAACTATCAATATGGATGCAGATAGATGATTAGTACACAAGCTATTTTTACATCTGTCAAAAGTGCCTATCAAGTAAATAAGCCTCAACGTACTTCAGAATTTTTTGATGGACAATGAATTTTTTTTTTTGAGAAAGACAATGAAATTTTATTCATCAAATATACAATGCAATCAAACGCCCATAGAAAGGGCTGCAAATACAACAGGATATGCAAAGAAAAAAAAGTAAGAGAAGAGTGAAAAGAGAGAGAAATAAATGAGAGAAAAAATCTACATTATTTATTAATAGAGTAATGACCCTATGAGACCCTTCCACACCCATGTGTGTAGGACCCCAAAGGACCACCATTAAATTTGGCACAGATCTCTAGAAAAGTTATCACATGGATGTAGGACTTGACTTTTCTAGAGATCTGTATCAAATTTAATAGTGATCCTTTGGGGTCCTACACACATGGGTGTGGGAGGGTCTCACAAGGTCATTTCCCTTATAAATAATAAGAAGTTGATTATAGGCAAGATGAGCTCCTAACAAAGAAGAAACATGGGAAGGACATATCTAACAGCGACACCTTTGAAAGAGTTCATAGGGGAAAGCAAATGAGCAAAAGACTATGCACAAAAGAGGAACCAAAAACAGTATAGGTTTAGGTTTTAAGTGAATTAGGAAAGTTGAGTTCTTTTAAATTTTAGTAACATGCTCTTCTTTCCAAATTTTCAAGTAGCTAACAGTTATCTATTTTCTTAGAATAGTTCCAGCAAATTTGGTACCTTACCTACTTTGTAAAGGCCTAGTTTCCGAAACTAGAAAGGAGCTAGTTGCCTAACTTTGGAAGAAGCTGGAATGTGGGAATTTAGGAATGCTAGAAACAGCTTGAATCCCAAGCTAAATTAAATAAAGGGAGCTTAAGTTATATAAAGACCTATGTAGTCTTATAGCCAATTTGCATTTCAAGTTGAGTAACAAAATTTAGGTTTTAATTGTGGTCAGAGGCCACCTTTATCGAAGAGATTTCTCAACTATTTTTATAGAGAGCGTATTTTACAACCTTAGCCTAGGTTTCAGAAATCTCTCCAAGGGTTAGAGCCCATGATCTTCTTTCACCAGAAAGATTCCCCAGAACCCTAGCTTGTGGATTGGCAGTTCTACCCACGTAACCTTGGCCCCCCACCTTCTTTTCCCTATTGTATGATACACCCCCATCCAAGATTCCCTATAACTCAATTCGTCACTAATTCAAAATATTCCACAAACCCTAGCCATACCTCTCCAAACCCTAAGTAACTAGCTCAATAGCAGCCCAAATCATATAGCTAACCACCATAGCCTTCAAACCCAAGTTTAAAACTTTAAAGCCTATAATTTATTTGTAACTAATACTATTATTGTGTCTTGCTGGGCCCCTAACTTCCAGCAAGCTATAACTATCCTAAAACCCTTAAAGCAACCCAATATTATGGCCATAATTATATCAGACCTTTCCCCATAGAAGTCTCCTAAGTCGTACCTCTTTTGGACCTCCCATCATCCACTCATACTCAATATAAGAGACCTCAAGAGTCAAGACTTCCAAAACCTTGCCATCCTAATTTTAGGAACCAAAAACCCTCTATATCTCCTAAACCCTAGCCTAGTTAGAATTCCAAATTGTACTCAGTCTCAAACCCTTCCTTTCTAAGTGGAACTTGTATTCAATGCTCATGTAAGAGCCACACCCACCATTTGGTCCAACATGAAATATCTTCTTCACCTTCTCATTTGGAACAATCATCATGATGGTTGTGATCCCATTTTACAACCCCATGTTTACCCCAGCAAGCCATCAATACGTGGATCAAAATCTTCCAAAACCCAACATAGCAAGCCTTAACTCCTCTCAAACTTACACAGCTCCACCATTACCAGCAACTCCTGAGGAGCCCATATTCCATCCCCGCTAACTAATATCAAGCCTTATGCTCTCCCATATACTTCTCAAAGGATCCCACCATTACCTCCTCAATGATCAAGGGATCTAATTAGTCTGGTGACTCTGGTCGGAGTCTTATGCCAACTATTCCCCAAGCTGGCTAAACGGTTGTGGTAAGAAAGGGGACAGCATGGCAGTGACATTGCAATATGTCCAGATAAAACCCTGGCAATAGGTGGAAAACAGATTCATAATATGTACATAATTGTCGCGGTTGGGGTTCCAATACAATATGTTAAAGTTTAGGAAATTATTACGATTGTGGACGATAATATTTTGTTTCAGAGAGCTTCAACTTGTATTTCACAGGAAAAGTGCGACTTTGGAGGGATTTTGAATGCATATGTAGCGAAGTCATCCACACTAGGAATCAAAATAACATAAACTGTGTACCAATAACATTTCATTTAATAAAAAAAATATCCATGTGGACTGTAAGACAAGAAACCATTATCTAGACTGGTGGTCTGCAGCCTACATTTTTTTTGTTACAGTTATTTAGTTTTACCTCTTTAGATGCATTATCCTAGGGAATATTTCTGGGACCATGATTGATGTTACAAGAAATACACTAGACTGACCCCTGAGACGATGTTCTTTCCTAGAGGAAGCAGAGCTGCTTCAATTCTGTACCTAGCATCCCACATTCTTTAGTGCGAACTTTTTCATTCCACTGGTGCATGTTTGTGTGTGTCATGCTGCGGAAACCATCTATCCCACACAGAATTTGTAAGTAAAGCACAGGGTAAACATATGAACAGAAGAAAGAGATAGGCAGTTGATTAAGATTAAAAAGAGCTAGCACAACATTTAAAAATAAAAGGGAGCTACATTTCTTTTTTGTTTGATAATTTAAAGGAAACACATTTTCAGAAAACAGAAAGATCCAGGAAGTTCAGTAAACACACAAAAGATCCAACATTTTTGGCCTCTAGATTATAATGATGCAGCTTAGATCGCTTAAAGATGTGCTAAAATCAATTAAAGATGCACACTAAAACAAATTTAGACATACAAATTTGGACCTCAAAAAAGGCATCTTCAACTGATTGAAGAAAATGAAGGTCGTCATCAATATGACTTTATTTTTAGCAATTACCTATTTTTATGTTTCAAAGATAATATGCTACAATTTCAACGTAAACTTAGGAGCAGCCCCAATAGGCGATAAAATGAGGGAAATTAGACTTAGGTGGTCTAGTCATGCAATATCAAGCTAGAACATCACCAGTTAGGAGATGTGACTTGGTTCAAGTGGAAGGCTCTAAGGGGTCAAAGGGAAGGCCCCAAAGGACATGGATGGAAGTAGTGAAAATATATATAACGACTTATGTTTTGACAGAGGGTATGGCCCTTGATAGAGTGGAATGATGGACCAAGATTTGTGCAGCCGATCCCAAATGGTTGGGATAAGGCTTGAACGATGATGATGATGATGCTAGAATCTCCACCTATTTCCCCATATTTTAAAAGCTTGCTAGTTTTGTAATATAATTTGATTAACTTTCCTATAAAGTTTAACTCAATATATAGCATGCTTTCTTTGTAATATGAAATTTTTGGTAGCTTTTCTTTCAAGTTAAACTCAATCAATACGTAACATGTCTCCACATGATCATGTCAGGTGAAGCCTATAGCATCAATTGCTACACAAAATATCAATGTGTTTTGATATTTTACTAGTGCACAAAGAGTGCTAGTCATATCATCATCCTTTCCTGAGCTATTGTATGACTTTCTCTACCCATTCACCTCCTTAGCCTCTCGTTGACATTTTTTATGAACGCTTGTAAACATACATTATAGAATACAAATTTAGTATCTTATTAAGAATCACAAATTGTATCCAAAAGAGGAATATAAATTTTTTTGATGAGTAGCAGCCCAGGTACATCAGAAGGGAAAAGATGCCAAAAAGGAAAAAAATAACTCAAGCTAAAGAGGGCCATCACAATCTCCTCTCAGGAACCAACATTGCTGAAACTCTTTCGTCTTTTCTATTTTTTTAAGTTATATAGCTCAACTATTTGACCTTGCAGAAATCCTGCTTGGTTGATGCGTGACAGAAAGGCACTGAATAAAAAAATACTGGTTACCCATAAAATAAGACATGGCAAACTTGCAGTTATTCTATACAATGTGAACATAAAATCATCTTACTTGGAGATAAATTACAAAAATGTTACCATCTGACACATAATCCATATTACATACATATTACTCAAGTTCCATGTCAAACAACACTAAAAACGTGAAGCAAATTTAAATAACACAAATCCCTACAAAATTTAATAATTTATCACAAAGTCACTTATCCAAAAAAAATAAGAATATCACACCATTTGTAGGTCTTATATATTAACAAATTCACCATTACAAGCCAAATTCTACATGAGGGTACCAAAAGCTGAATCAAATTGAAAATCAACACAAAGTACCTCGAGGAGCAATTTCTGCATGCTTCGATGGATCAGTTGCAGATGGACGAACAGGCTGCATCCCAAACGCCTGTGCATAAGTGTCATCAAACTCCTCGAACACGGCCTTCCTATAAGCAAGAACGGTAGTCATGTTCTTAATACCCTCAAGAGTCTTATGCTCACTGCTTCGAGGCATCACTCCCATGCTCCGAACAAAAGAAATAAATTCCATGGGTTGAAAACTATCTCTCGAATCTTTAATCTGCTTCGTTGAGTAAACACCCCCAACTTCATAATCTTCCACATCAACTGCAAAGTACCCTTCTACACTCGTAGGCCTAAAATTATTGGGTCTCCGACACCGACAAGCCAATCCCAAGGCCCTCCTCCTGCCGACTTCATCGACGGCCTCCTCGACTGCCTTCATAAAAGCTCGGGAGGAAGTTTGATGAGACTTTTCAGCATAATTGGGCTCGAATGGTATCAACTCCATTTCATCAAACCACCCATAACTGCTATCCCCGAAAAATGCCACCAAAGCATAACCCTCTCTTCTGTTTCTCTTCACTGAAACTGAGGCAAAAGCTTCGTTATATATGTGGCCAGGCCACCACGGATGAGATTTCACCTTTCCCCAGACCATGTCCCCCAACTTGAACCTCTTCAATGAATACTTTTCTGAGTCGTTTATGGAAATGGGAACCCTAAAGTTGTCATCAGCGATGTAGCTATCAATATTCGATGAGGAATGTTGATATGACAAACCCCCAAAACCAACTTGTGTTGAGAAATCCACTTTTAACGTGTCACCTCCTGGATCTGAATAATCAACTGATGGAGACCCTAAATTTGTTTCCTCTCCTTTTGAGTGAGTCCCTAATCCTGAATCCATTGATCTTTGCTCATAATTCTCAGTATTTGTGTCAGTGCAAGGAGGCCCACAACTTTCATCCTGTGATTTATTTGGCCCAGAAGAAACTGTAGTTTGATTAGTAGAATGCTTCGTAGTGTCTGGTAAAGAACTATAGCTTGAAGGGTGTCCAGGCCCAACTTGTGATGTCAACTCTGACTTCTCGTCACTAGACGAAAATCCTAATTTTGAATTCCCATTTTTAACAGCATCTCTCCTGCTATTTGATCCCCGAACTTTGAACCTCTTGTCCTTGCTCTGGGTTTCTGAAATTAAATGAGCCCTTTCTTCCTCTTTCAAAGAGCAACTGTCAGCCCGTGAGTCCAAAGATACCCTATTTTCCTCCTCCACAGAGTAGCTAATAGTCCCTGAGGCGAAAGGAACCCTAATGCCCTCCTTGACAGGGTCGTCCTTAGACTCTGAGTTCAATGGAACCCTAATTTCATCTTTCACATTGCAATTGCTATTCCCCTGTAATGAATCATTGCTTGCTCCTTCTGATAGAAACCCTAATCTGGAACCAGTGGCTTTCATGCCATCACCTCCACTGTTCATATCTTGAGAATCGAGGCCCCCGTTTTCCATGGACGCATGCTGGACCAAGGAAACCCTAGTTTCCTCAAACCCCATCATTTTAAGTTCGTCCCCAACGCCATTAATGGAAAGCTCCCTACGAGTATCTGCAAAAAACAGGGGTTTTTTCAACAGAGGATTCCTAGTGAATAACTCAAGCATCTAATAACTCAATCATCTACCTATCCTCATTCTCGTTTAGAACAGAAAGCAAGAGGGGAACCAGGTTGAAGAAAGAGAGGAAAACCCTAATGAAGGGGAGTTCGAAGCGAGAGAAGAGAGAGAGAGGAACACAGTCTAAGCATTTGAGGTCTTACCTTTATGATGATGGCTGAAGAGAGATAAATCATTTCTTTGGCGAGAGAAACTCGGATATCGCGAAAGATCAAAGATAGAGAGAGAGACGCTGATATCGTGAGAGAGAGAGAGAGAGAGAGGAGGGAGGGGGGGGCCACACCACCGCCTTGCACTCTATGGCTTGAAGGAAGACCGGACCGTGCGTCTCGAACACTTATATATGGAAAATGTTTATATAAGGTTGAGGCTCTAAACAGCGCAACTCAAAAATTCAATAGAAATAGTTAGTTTTTTATCTTGACCTTGACATAAATAGATATATATAAAAAAAAAAAGTTTACAAGAAATTGCAACTTTAAAATGTAAAATTACAAATGCATCTCAAAAATCTATCAAAAAGGTTCTTTTAATGTTGAAAAGCTCTCTAATTGATCATCTCAACATTAAGATGTATAAATATTAAAAAATTAAAAAATAAATCTAAAAAATAGTGCATCTTGCAACACATTATTTAGACTGTCCATTTTCAATATTTTCATATATTTATACATCTACTTGATTTTAACCATTTTTGGAGTTTAAAATTTTTTAATTAGATATGAAAATAGATTTTAAGATAATTTTAAGAATTTTTTACAACAAAATTACATGTTATGATAAAATTGAAGGTGTACTTAATTTGATTGTTTAAAATTGCAACCTTGTAGAAATCGCACCTAAAAAATTGGACTCCAGTCCTTATTTAAAGATTTTCAAGTGTTCAAACTTTTAATTTTATAATTAAAGATGAAAATAAACTTTCAAGTCATCATAAATATTTTCGATACTGAAAATACATCTTTTAATACTATTTGAATGTGAGTCATATTTTACCACACCCTTTGTATATTACGAAAATGTCCTCATCTATATGGGATATGATTTGTATGAGTCGGCCGACTCATCTATTCAAAAATACATCTTTCCAAAATCTAGTTTAGAGGTGAATTTTGGATTCAAAATTTTAAAGATTGAGAATTTTAACTATGATGAAGACAAAATTGATTGGAATATCAAGTGCCCTACCTTGATATCAGACTACTACTACCTACATCATTTTGTTTGCAGCCTCCAATTGAGAGAGAGGTGCAACCCGCTCTAAAAAAATAAATAAAATTAAAAAAAAAAAACAAAATGATATAATTTTACCAGTGTTGATTTAAAATTTGGACGGGACAATAATTTTTCACTATGTGCGCTTTATCCTTTTCAATATACATTTACAATATTCATGTATATTGATATTTGTAAAGTAAATTAGGAGGAAGATTTTTTTATTTTAAAATTTTAAAATATATAAGGTTTCTATGAGATGACTGACTCATCCATTTAAATGGGTCATCTATCCGAAGTGTATTTTTTAGATAGATATTGGAATCAAAATTTTATAGAATGAATATCTCAACTATGATGGATAGGAATTGTAGACACCCATTTTGAACTTGATAAATTTATATTTTTTTTAAGGGAATGGTTTCTATACTTCCCCTACAGCATATAAGTTTTATCCTTCCCCTATCATCCAGTCGTCCAATTTTGATCAAGAGAGTCACTCACCATTTGATCTTAGATCCAACGTTTCAAAGTATTTTATTTTTTATTTTTTTATACAAATTTTATGAATATAAAATTTGGTATGTGTCATCTTCACATTGGGGTGCACGTACAAAAAATATTAAAAATAATTTTCCATAAAATATAATTACCAAAAACCATTTGAATATTTCAGGAGTATTTTGGTCATTTTATTTTATTGAAAATATTTTTTTTATATTTTTTGCTAGTGCGAATTTAATAGAGGAATTGACACCCAAAATTTGGTATCAAAATACTTTATAAAAAAAATATTAAAAATAAAATGGTGTAGAGACGTGACATTGTGATTGGGGCAATCTTAACCCTCCATTCAGAATGGACGGTTGGATAAGGGGAAGCATGTAAGTTTTATGCTGTAGGGGAATCATAGAAAGCTTGCCCTTTTCTAAAACCCTATAAAAACTTTAGGACCATATTTTTCCAAAATAGCTCTAAATCATAGAGCACTATAGTCTATGGTCCCTATCATGTGATCCCTTTATTCTTAAAAGCTTACTCATGTTGGAAATAATCAATAAAATAAGCTAAAAAACGTATTTTTTCCCCGAAAATTAGAACATGATCATTAAAAAATGCATGATTGATCACGAGGATCAAAATCCTGCGATTTTTGTGAGATATGGGCAATGCGACATAATGTGTGTCGCCCAGCCCTGTTGACTAGAATTGACACACTTTGAGTCGCCAATATAATTTTGAATTGATTCATTGAATCTAATCCAATGAATCTAATCCAATTTAGGCTATGCGATGCAATGTGTGTCGCTTGGCCCCGTTTTGATCTAAGCGACGCACTTTGTGCCGCACATCCTTCTGACCACCAAATTGTAGATTCGAGTTGGCAGATCAACTAACTATCAAAAAATGTGCATGTCGATCATTTTAGGTTTATAAAAATACCTATGCACGACCTTTTAATGGTTGGTGACCAAAAATCCCTAGAGTGTGTGAAACGCTAAACCTATAACCCTGGGATCATAAACCCATATTTATAAACTCATTTTCAATATTCAACCCCTACGTCAGATCGATAATTCTATTTCAATAAAGTCAAGGTTTGGTTAATTTTGAAGATAAAAATAAGGGCGCACGATGTAAACTCAACCACGGTCCTAATATAGGCAAGGCTTTGATGTCCCATACCAACTGGCTCGGTTAGGGAAGTCCATTTTCACCATTTCATATCATTTAAGTCATTCCTATTAAATTTGAATTAGTTTAACAACATTTCTTATAGTATTTTGTACAAATATCAATATCGGTTATGCCGCTTATCTAAAGATAATATCTATTCATATCTGAATATATCATAGTTCAATTTGATCTCACTTCTCTATCGGTTTTTACATAACAAGTTTGTAATCTTAGATATTGGGATATTCACTTGAAGGTCTGAATTCGCACGACATGAATATGAAAAGGAAAGCCACAATTTATTTTTAAAAATACAAAATTAGATTTTTTATATAATGTTAATACTATTATTTTTAAATTTTGGTGGGACCACCATTTGTGACATCCATCTACATGATGGACAAGAAATATAAAAGTTATAATTATGTTAAAAAATAATTAAAATACCCTACAAATTTCATAAATTTAAAGGCAGTTGGTCATTTTATTTATTTTAAAATATTTTTGGTATATTTTATGTATGTAGGATGATTGAGAACTATCAACTCCCCAATTTTATCTTAACTGATATACAAAACAGAAAACAAAATTACGACATAATTTGTAAGGAAAATATCTCATTATTCCCTATTTTTAACTTTCATATCGCATGAGACCCAATAAATGAAAATATTACGTGTAAGCAAAAGGTCTCTATCTTACAACTCCCTGGACCTCTTTGATCATAAATTTTTTACCCAAAAAAACACTAAAATGACACCCTATTCAAACTCCATCTCTCTCTCTCTCTCTCTCTCTCTCTCTTCACTTCTCGATGAGCCTACTAGCCAAGGGATTTAGCTTGAGCTCGAACATGAGCACACCTTCTTATGTGTGAGAGAGAGATGGAGTTTTAGAGAGAGAGATGGAGTTTGGGTTTTAGAGAGATGCAGTTTTAAAGAGAAAAAGAGATAGAGTTTGAGTTGTAGGGAAATAGATAGACTTTTGAGAGAGAGAGACGATGATGTGAGAGAGAGATGGAGCTTGGGTTTTGGAGAGAGATGGAGTTTTGAGAAAGAGAGACGATAATGTGAGAGAGATGAAATTTTAGAGAGAGAGACATAGAGTCATTTCATAAGTTGTTGAGGTCAATAATACATGGCCAAAAGGGTTTAAGGGGGTTGGAAGATAGAAAAGATAGAATCTTTTTGCTTACAAGTAATATTTTCAATTCCGGGGTCTGATAAGATATAGAAGTTAAAAATAGAAAATAATATGATATTTTCTTTAATTTGTATTCTTTGGGACT